TTCCACCGCACATTGCTGCGCTGTTTTGACGGACCTGCAGCACAGTTGCACTGGCTGCAGGATCCTTCCTCATTAGTCTGGTGTTGCTGCGCCACGGTGCGCATTAGATTCGGCATTAAAGCCTCATCCGGGTTCACCGCTGTTCGCTGTCGAGGATACGCGTGGCGCCCATACGGCCCCGCGTTATAAAGCGAAAGAGCAGGGAACGAGAGCAAAAGTTTTACTTCAATTTTTTTCGAAAAAATCAAGTTGCTTATCAAGAAATAACTGTGTCTGATCAATAATATTTTAAAAATCCTAGACGAATGAAAGCGAGCAAATGGCAACGTTGCTTTCTGTTGGTCCCTTCCCAAGTTCCGTTTAATCCTTAACATCATCCCTACAACTCTTAGTTCTTTTGGCATCCTCATTCTTCGGAAGGTACCGTTAACCATACAAGTCTATGGGAGATAGATCTTGCTTTGGGGTTACCTCGAGTACTGATAGTGCAAGGTCCTTTTGTTAACCAGTAACAGATACCTTTTGGGTGTGTCAATAATTTACAAAAAGGTTAACCCAAAAAAATCGGTTGTTGGAATTGCTATGAAGGCTAGTATAAGCATCTAAAAAATGACCGCTACCCCCTCCCCTTAAATACGGTTTGGCTCGCTACTGACACTCAAAAGATCTCAATTTTAGTATTTCTGAATCCGCAACAAAAAGTTACACCAGAAAAGTGCAAAGAAGAAAACGAATCGGCGCACATAAGTATTTTCAAATTTATTTTGTGCAACTGTCCGCGTGTGGCGGAGCAGGGCTGTATATAACTGGTTGTGACTTGTGAGCAGAGAAGCGGCTCACGTAAAGCGACAAAATCTTTCAGAGGATTTCAACGTATTGCACCGTGGTGCAGTGGTACTGCCTACGCGGATCTAACGACGTAGCCGGGGGTCGATTCCCCCACCGGCGCCTTTTTCAGCCGTTTCACGGTTTCCCTCGGATTGCCCCCTGCTTAGATGGTATAACTTACCTTACCTACTTACTGCAGACTACTTGCGTCACTGAAAAGACAGGCAATACCAGGCAATACTTTTCTAACTTCAACCTGGCAGTACTTTTCTTAATTCTAAGCGTATTCAGGAATACTTCTATACTTAATTTTTACAATAAATATGACGCTTAATTCGGATTAAATTTTGATGTTCTGTCCAAACTGCATGTTTACATTTTAAATGTACAGCACCACAATATCATTAATTTTCATGCACTCCAGTAAAAGCTACAGTACTCTACCCGCCGTACCCGGTACCATAGTTCATGATAGCTGTACTACGGCGCGGCTCAAGTTTACGTACCTCTACCACCTTGTTGCAAAACGCTAGAGTGACCGAATTGTTACAGCCCTATTCCCGCAAACGTAGCACAAAGCACCTGTGGCACTGTTCGTACCAAAGAAAAAAAGTGAATCGTTTTTTCGCTCCTTGTAGTCACAGTAGACATCTGTATACATGCTGTAGACACCCTGTAGACCTATCGGTAGTCATCTGGATTCTTAGGATGTATACAGCGTGTCTACAACGGTGTCTACAGGCTGTCTACGGATGTCTACCGCTGTATACAGGCAGGCCTTCTTAGGTTCAGCTGGATGTTCGGCTGTATACGTCTGTGGACGCACTGTACACAGCCCGTAAACACTCCTGTAGACATACTGTAGTCACCTGGTTTCTTAGGTTTTCTTAGGATATACAGGTTGTCTACAGGCTGTCCACAGCATGTCTACAGGTTGTCTACAGATGACTACAGTGACTACAAGAAGGAAAAAAGCGTTCCAGTTTTTTTCTTTGGTACGAAACGTTCCATATATACACAAAGCCCAACCACTTCTCATAAAATTAAATTTTAATTACTTTATTTAAATTTAATTTATTTATTGCTTTCAATGGTGTCGGCCTGTCCCGTATGAAAAGCCTTCCGATCCCCATCCCTTGTAACAAAAATTGCGAAAAGTCCAACCGCCACCGCCCTTTTATGTTACGTAATATTTAAATCGCGGCAATGCCTGTTTTCTGTAAATTGTATAAGCAAATTGCACGTTATATTCTGGACCACGTCGGACACTCGGACTTGTCTTATTCATACTTTTTTTACCCAGAAACTGGATGTTTCGCTTGCTGCTCCGCGAGCTCCGCTCGCGCCGCATCTCGGCGTCACCTGCGGCTCCGCCTTCGGTTAATGGTCCACAAATTCTCAACTGTGCTTTCTAAATCTTTAGCTTTTACGTACTTAACTAAATAAAGTCATTAAATTTGAACAAACGATAAGAATGCGAAGTGTGAAAAATAGAATTTCGTTCACGCTCACAGGATAGCCGCTTTCTCCTGCAGCAGCCCCTTGTAGTCGAACAGTAAATACACCTTCATCACTAGTGCGGGAACATCGCGAACATTGGCCAGAATTGCGCACTTCACGACCAATAGACATTGCACAAACCTTCTACTGTGTTGGTTGTTTCCATTTCTGTCGTGCTGAAGTTCTGACTGGAACCGAAATTATTACTTACTGTTGCGTGTTTAATATTCAATGCTCGAAGTATTAAAGTCTTAAAAATTTAAAGTAAAACACAAACTTTCTGGGTGAACGCTGTTTCCTGCATGTAAATAAAGTGTGTTTTGTTTCGGTTTGAGTGTAATGTATCTTGGTTTGTTTTAACCGATCGTGGCAGCTTTCTCTTTTCTATCCATCCGGTGATTCTGTAATTTTTTGTCAGTGACTAGTAATCAGAGCCGTAACTGCAAATTATTGCAACAGGAACGCTTCAAGACTGACCCCTTTCACCAAATTTATTGAAGGATGTTTGTGTACGTTTACTGCTGGAAAATTGGGTTTTACATACGGTGAGTAATGTCGAGCATTGATAACAGAACCATATCTCGGTATCGGGTAACATCTGTTTTGATAGTCGGATATGTGATCGTCAATGTTTTCGCAGCAGCGTATCCGTTCAACAGGTTACACATTCAAAAAAAAAATTGGAGCTGATTTCTTTCTGAGTAGTTTCGTGAAAAGCAATTATGACTTTGATTTGTGTTTACCCTAACAGTGCTGTGTTGATCTAAGTGAGTGACTTTGAAATTATTTGAGGAAAGCGCTAATTTGTGTGTTCCCACAGGAGTGACAGGACTATCTGGAGATATCATCCGCAGCCGTTATCCGATGATGGAGAAATTTAAAATCGGACAAATCGTCTGGGCTGATCGAAAATGTATGTATGCGAAATAATATTATCAAAATTGGATCTAATTTCTAAGCGTTTAAACGATTTTTGTGCGTTCCTAAATTTTGCACCTAGAATCGAAATTTCTTACAATGCGCAATATTTTTAAGGCCATCCGCGTAGAGAAATTGTGCAGTGGCCGGCGCAAATCCTTGATCCTTAAGAAGGCAAAACGCATCGTAATCTTTGTGTAACAGAATCCTCATTCGTGATGTTCTTCATGGCTGACGCTCATGTAAAAGTCGGTTGGGTCTCTAACAAAGGTAAGTAGTTACTAGCTGCTGTATAGATTACAAGATGGGGGCTCGCTTCGCTCGCCCCATCTTGCCGAACTGTGGAAGTGAATCGGAGATTTGAGAATAAAGTTGACGTGGTAATACTGTATGTGGTAAAGGTTATAGGGAGAAGATAGTTCGAAAGTTTATGCACTGCCATTATGTTGCCGAGTAACGAAAGAATGGATGCGGATACATAAGGATATAAATAAAACAGACGGTTGCGGGATTCAGGTGGTGTAAAGGTTGACTGTGAATTTTAATTGGAAAATGATTAATGGTTTGTAGTGGTACATGTTTGTTGCTGTCTAGCATTTTGTTAAAGATAAGTTAGAAAGGTCGATATTTGATTATGTCGGGGGAAGTTGGGTGCAGAAGAAGCACGAGATGCAGAGAGAAAAAAGAGTTTCTATGCAGCGCAAATTGGTTAGGAGAAGGGAGCAAAGGTTATCAGTGCAAGGAGCGATTTGAAGACAGTGAGAAATTGTTTAGGCATTTGTTCGATGCTAAATATGATACTTTATGTCCCGGAATTCGAGGAAAAATTGAGCAAGGGTTATCCGTACGTGGTGAAAAGATCGTGGAGAAACGGGAAGAATTCAACTTTTTCAGAAAGTTGCTTAGTTGCTTCAAGCCGGTGATGCCGGAGCCGATCAGTTTTTTTGATCATATGGTCAGAAGTTTTTTGAGAGGAGCAGGACTGGAGAAAAGAGTGGTTTATTTTGGAGTTGAATCGCTAAGATGGGTGACAACGTTTGGTGATGTTAAAGGCAATTTTGGTGAAATTATTGGTGTGCCGGGTTTGGGTGATTTGGAGGCATCTCAGTGGATTCGTGATGCGGAATGTGTGTTGGTGCCGTTTTACACAAAGTCTGAATTTGGTTCACATGGGAGTTTGGTTATTGTGGGAGAAAAGGGTAAGGGTAATGCGAACCGTTTCTGGTGTTATATATTGAAGGTTTTAAGGAAGTGGTTTGGTACATGGTACGAAATTCGTGTACGTGCACAAACCGATTTCTTGATTTTCTTTAAATCGGTTTATTTAAACAGTGTTGATCGGTGTATAACGTTGTTCGTGGGCATGTGCATTTGTTTGCATAATTTGAAGCAGATCTGTTCATAATGATGGTTTAGCTGCACCTCAGTCTAATTATACTTTTTGGAGTTTGCTAGTACCAAATATCCGAACCGGATGTTGCGCGCACGAATAGTATTTACGGAAGTGTATACAAATCTTGTGGTTACAGGATGAAATAAACTGAAACAAAATGTGTTTGGGAGCGCGCGAAAGTGACGGTTTTCGTTTATGTAAACGAATTTAGTACCATGTACCGGGCCACTTCCGTTAATATGCGGTTTTTTTGTGTTGTAGGTTGTCATAATTTTTGTTCTTCTGGGCTTTGTCATAAAGATGAGTGGGTGAAATTTGTGAAAGTATTATTTGGTGATAATGTACTGAACAACCCAAAAATGGGAAAGTGGTTGAGAATGGAACAGATGCTGAAGGTGGATGTTCAGAGTATATTAGTATGCATGGAGTATGGCTGTGGATTAGTGATGCTGTACCTTATTAAGCAGTTTTTGTTTAATCTGACTGATGGAGAGTTGGACGTGAGCAATTATGCAGAAGATGTGCGAACGAAGTTTGTAAGCTTTTGTAACGAAATGGAAAAAGCGGAAGATGAAGGCCATGAGAGAAAGCCAAAGCGATTGTTGGGAAAATTTGTTACTGGGTGTGGGCTTGGGCCTTTTAAGACTCGTTGGCAGACAAAATATTACGAAGGTAAACTAATTATCGAGCCAAATTTTTATAAAAAACGAAGTTATTGTTATTAAATTATTTTTAATTTAATAATATTGTAAATGCAGAAGTGCGCGCATGTGTTGGTAATTGGGCGTGTACTGGACCGGAGAGGATCATTGCCGTGAAGGCATTTGGTGGCATGCGATTTTTTCTTGTGAAACACTTGGGTTATTCGAACGACTGCAATACATATGTTCCGGAGTTTTGCGTTCCAGAGGATATGATTGAGAATTTTTTTGCTGAACTGGAGAAACCGAGAAAGCGACGGAAGATTTAACGTTTAAGAAAGATTTGCACGGTCAAAG